AAACTCTTGAAGAAACCTTACAACAGCCTATGCCAATCACTATGATTTACAGCAACCAAGAAGGTACCTACCTTGTATAAAAATATATTTGCCTGGTCCCAATTCTTATTTACTATAAACAATTACTATTTACAAAACTTTCTTAGTGTGCCTAAGAATCTGTATTTCTGACAATAAAGGGTACTTTGTTTCAAATACTTCATAGTAGCATAAATTGCTCAATAAATATTTATAAAATATTCGAACACACCTAAAATATTCTAACATACCTAAAGATCAAAACCCCTTCTAAATGCCCATTCATATGATTTACATAATAGAATTGTGGAAGAAAAGCACTATAGATATACCATGATCAAGACCTTGTCACAATTTACTTAAGGGTTAGAGGTATAGAATAACTTAAACTAATTGTTCCCTGCCCCTCCTCCCAAAAAAGGCAGGTAAGCCTACTAGAGATAAGTGCGAGGCTCGACATCAACTTTAAACTAGAAATTATGCAGAAGGAATTTTGATCACATTAACAGATTCTTTCCATTTCTATAAAAAAATAGCTTATAGAGCTTATAGGCTTCAATTAAACTGTAATATCTGAGTTGTAAAACTCAGAGTTTCTGAATATTAATTAAAATTATTTAAATCCCACTCACTATCCAGAGGATCTTACTGATAAATTATAAATGGATTTTAAACAGACTGACACTGAAAGAGAGGCACTTAATGAACAAAAGGCATCATCAGGCTGCAGATGCTACACATCCTGGAAGAAGAGTTAAAATAATGCTAAAGGTATGCATAATACAGATATTCTATTCTGAAGGAGATTCAAATTAAATTAGGGTAATGGAAAAATTGGAATTTGCTCAATTTTTTTTTCAGATTTTTAAAACTGTTTTGCTTGCCAACTTTTTTTTTTTTAAAGCTGACAATATTTAAGTTATCCTACAGACATTTTTCAGTGTGCTAGGATGACACATTATTTCCCGATTTTCCTGGGGGAGGAGCTGAAAAGGACAAAAAGGAGGTAGAGGAAAGAAAATAAACCAAGAGCCAGAATAATTGTCCCCAGCTTCTGTGGTGATTATTACCGTGGTTCAAAGAAATATGACAAAACAGTAAAGTATTGCTACAATAAATTATTGTAGATATAAAGTGCTTCACATACCCTTAGTAAACTCAAAGCTACAGTATTACAAGAATCTGATAAGTTTTGAAACATCAAAACAAAAAGGCAGCTTTCCCATGTTTTATAATCTATGCTTTCATTCTCTGCAATTCTGAAAGCTAAGATACCCTAAGAAGTAACAATGTATGAAAACAATTTCCTCCTATTAAAAAAAAAAGTGGGAATTAACTGTCACTAACTTCTATTAACTGTTGCTTCAATGCCAATCAAAAATTATTTCTTTATTAGAAATGAATTAAAGTTTTGCTCTAAAAACAAGAAAACAGATCCACAGCACATTTTTCAAAACTTTTAGAAAATTTTAAACCATGGAAGGATTAATTTGTAAGAAATGTATCTTACACTGAATAGAACACAATTACATAACAAATCAGCTACCTAAAATATTAACA